AAATGTTGGGGGTGGGGGTGTCCCTCTTGCCCCGTCACTGCCTATCTTTCGTTGACTACTTTTCTCAGCGTACCATATTACGTTTCATGTTGTACGAGTAGGCGAAGTAAAATCTTTCAGAAATCAGTAGTGCTCTCGAGGTTTTCCCAAAGCGAACAAAACTGAAGAACATACGGATAAGATTCGGCAATGTGATAAAGGTTGTTTCCAAGGAACATGGTTTTCTCAATAGGGGAGTGAAATTACCCTCATGAGCTTAATTTTCTGTATTGTTTTTAGTTATTAAGATTTCGTGTGGAGGCTTTCCGGCCTCCTCCCTTCTTGTTTCCGAGCAATTTCAGTGATGACTGTTTATTTCGTTATCTATTTGATTGTTCCGGGCTGAAGGAAAGTATTTCAACTAATGTCAGTGCAAACAACACCCGAAAAGTAAGCTTGAAAGATTTTTTTTTCCGAGGCGAAACTCGAGAAGGCGTTGATTCATAAAAACTTGAGCTTTATCACCGCTGGAAGAGATTTTCAGAATTTGTTGTGCACAACCTAAGCTTGCGTAAAAAGCTTGCTTTCTACTTGAATTACAACGCCGAAATTTGACACTTACATTCACGAAATATGGAACAAGAGCTCTGATCTTACCTTCTTGTTGAACGTCGTTAATTCCCGGGTTAGCCTTAGCTTCCTCAACCTCTCGGATGCACTCGGCTTTGTCAGGGTCATCCTCGCACAAGTTTCTGTTTTCCTCTTTAATAGCAACATGTAAATTATATAAATTATTTCTAAGCTAATCTATAGCCCCTAAAAGCATTAGAATTTGACCTATATATTGTAGACCCCGTGTACAAACGATTCTTGCAAGAGGACACAAATATGTGATTTGCTGCATTTTGGTCAAAACGATCTTGAACTTAAAAACAATATAAAAAATAAAATGATAGGAATTTGGGATGGCACATCCCGTGGAGAGGTTCTTCGTCCACTGTTTCCAGATCTAGTTGGAATTTTAAAATGTTGGTTTTTGTATGGGGAGGAAAACCAGAGAACCCGGAGAAAAACCCTCTCAGCAAGGCGAGAACCAACAACAAACTCGGCCCACTTATGACACCGGCTTCAGGATTCGAAAACAGGCTACACTGGTGGGTGGCGAGCACTCTAACCATTACGCCATCCCTGCTCCCCTACTTATGAATACATAAAATGCGCTTAGAACACCAGATTCAGATTTTTTATTGTTTTGTCTATTTCCGTCATGAACAATCAATCTATAAATAAATAATACATAACATTAACAACAACACAGAAACAAAAATTACAATAAATAGAAAGTAAGTGTACCCAGTGACCAAAGTAGCTAGGGCTTTCGGGTTGTTCACTGCCACGTTAAGTTAACTGGCGTATACAATAAGCTTATAAAACTAAAAACAGTGCAAAGTGTATTAGAATAAATCATTCAGTGAATCATTGAAGTGAGAGCTAGTTGTCACAAGTTTAGTGGATTCTTGCAGGGCACAAGTACAGAGCTTTGAAAAGTATATCCGACTTTTCATTTGACATCAAAACCTCTAGCATGTGCAGTCCACGAAAATACTCCCTAAATACCTTCAGTGCATTACCAGACCGCATTATATATAAACGCAAGAGACCATATACCCGGTGAGCTTTTGCCACAAAACATGGTATACTCACGCGTGAAAAGATCACTGTTGCTATGGTTGGTGGGAATACGAAATTTCTCTATACTTGTATTGAAAATATTTCACTCGTTCGCTGCTTGCGCTCACTCTTGGAACACTCGAAGGGATATTTTTTAACGCCAAGAGGCCATTTAATACGGTATCTATCCTCTCTATATATTTTTCAGTTTCATCGATGAAAATATCTCTTAGCTTTTGACATTTCGAAGTCAAAATGAAGCGCTGTCTATTAGAACGCAATTATTTAGTCTTCCCTGGATTTTGTTCTCTTGACTGCGTTCACCTGCCACTGTCGAGCCCAGAATCTATCCAGCTGCGTGACCCAATCAGAGGGACTCTGAGTTCGAGATTTTTTTTTCAACTGTTAGGGCTCTAGCTCTTTTTGTACGTCTTTTAGCGAAATTAAACCAAGTCAATTGTTCCAATTCCAATTCCAATTCCAATTCTATTGAACGTTTTTGTTGCTAACTACAATATTTTTAGCCGGTCAATGCCTCGTTACGAAAACTGTAAAATGAAAGGCTTTTCGGTCCTTTTCTGGTATATGACAAATGTTGCGTTATTTTCAGCTAGTCAGCAAATGGCTGTTCTTATTCTAATAAAATGGCGGGAATTAGATCGAAGATAAACAATTGTTTCCACTGTTTTTGTTGCGTTATATTATCATATTCGAAATGCGACGACTCACACGAACTACAAGTAAACAAGCCCGAATGCTTAGGACAGATAGAACGGACGACTGGCTTATTCCGGGCTAGACTACCAATTAGCAAAATAAACTTTAGCGCATCGTATCGTGTTAAATCGCGCGACCCGAGAACCCAGTGTCGAGAAAAAGGCCGACTAGCTACAGACAGCAAAAGCATTCTTTTAGTTCTTGGCAAGAGATAATCTCTTGGTGTCTTGGGTAATTTAAATCCGCCCACTGAGAATCAGTGTTAACCGAGATTAAAAGAAAACTGAGCATTCTCAAGCCTGCTTGTGTTTGCTGTCTGATGGCAGGCGTTTTCGTTGGTTTCATGCCAAAAGAATACTGTTTCGCATCCATGAGTCAAAGTGGAAAACGGATGAAGATATGAACGAGTTAATTTGGTACCTAAAGAATCGATCTAACCAGTCAAACGCAAACAGCTTTACATTTACAGCGAACAAAAATAATTGTCCAGAGCACAAACTACTAACTTCTACATTTACGTTGCTTACCGTTTAAAGCCGGCTTCCCAGATATGCGAGAGAGCAGTGAAACAAAAATAATGAGGGTTAAAATGAATATTCGCTTCATGTTGGTCGTGAATCGTCGCCGAACACGATCAAAAAGAAAGTGATTCGCTGTCAGTTTAGACTTGTAAGCAGTGACCGGCCGCTTAGCAACTACAGAGCGTTCAAAAAAATGGGGCAGAGTGTATTTTGCTTCTGCTCGCGAAAATGCAAATTCTGGTGTCAGGAAGGACCTATTGACGGAGTGAAGACAATACCCTTTAACTTCTGACTTGATATCGATCGTAAATTACGAGGCGAATACGACCGAAGGAAAAAGGGGGCAACACCTAATGAGAGAAGAAAAAAAAACTTTTCATTTTTCTTTTTTCTCTCCCAATCTCCCACCACCCCTTTCCCTCTTCTCAGAACGAGGCAGGGAGAACAACAAAGTCAGGGGGGCACTTTCAATTTGATGAAAAATTCCGGTTTAAATTTCCGGAAATTTCTAGTGACGAATGGGACAGCGTTTTCCGGAATTTCAAGAACAGAGGAAAACCTTGCGAGGAATGCCGAAATTTTCGGAAATTTCTTACCGCGAATTACCGACTTTCCTCCCACAATTTCCGAAATTTCCGGTTGAATGGTTCGCTTTTCGAAAATTCTACAATTTCCGGATTGCTGGAGATTTCCGTTTCGAATTTTTTCGGAATTTAATTTGACCATTCTCGTCCACTAGCACGTGACCAAACGAAACGGAGGCTCTCAGGACGAGATTGTATCGTGACTGTATTACCTCAGCACAACTCGGTCACCGCTCAAGACGACACAAGAGTGTCCCGTTTTCCTCAACTCAGTGTTTAATCTGCTATTACTTAAAAACGTGTGTAAATACTTCAATATCATATCAAGTTTTTAAATGAATATGCAAATAAACTCGCCAGCTGGCAAGCTGTAGTTATTTTCAGTTATTTTAGGCAGTTTTACGCCATACGCGACCGGTGTTTTATTGCTTGACTTGATACAGTATCATAAAAAAAGATCAACTGAAGTGTGTTCGCGTCGAAGAAAATAAACAAACACTTTACTAGTAACTGTTTTGAGTGTTTTAAGTGAAAGAGTCGAAAGAAATAATGTCATACAACAAGTGATGACAAGTAACTTAAATCAAACAGGGTCTTCGTCATGCATCATGCATGGCTGATTTGAAACCAGCAGCACAGCTGACATGCCCGCACTGATGTAGCGCGCGTTTCGTGCCATGGTTTGGAGGAAATTGCGTCGAGGATTTCTACTTTTACTCCCTTTTTACGCTTGTTTGGTATTTATTGGATTTTTTTCATTTCTTTGGTCGCGTACAAAAACGCCATATCAACAATATCCGAATTCTCGCGCTGTCCTCTTGATTGAACCGGTTTCACTGGTAAATCTTACTTTCAATTCCTCCAATATTCCTGGAGTGTTGAATCTACACGTGTGGAACGACTTGTGCGGTTTAGACGTGGATCGCCTCCGTGAAACTCCACTCTTTCCCCGCTATCCACATGAGAGATTATTCTTGAGAAGTTTTCACACTGTGCGGGATTTTGCTGGCTACGGCCAGAGAATTTTTGGCTTCATTGAACCGAAAGCTTCCGGGCTTTACACATTCGCCGTCTCGTCGGACGATACATCAGAGTTGTGGCTCAGTTTCGATGAAAACTCGCACAATATTCGTCTAATAGCGAGCGTTTTCTCTCCCACAGAAAGTGCCTGGACAGACGAAGGAGATTTCTGGAAATATCCAACACAGCTATCTCGTAATATCCGCTTGGTTGCCCGTCAAAGATATTTTGTGGAAGCTCTGCACAAGCAAGGAGGTGGAAATGGTCGTATACAAGTTTATTGGAGGAAGCCAGGCTCTGTAAAACTCGAAGCTATCACGGGGGAGTATTTACGCTCGTATTGTGATGACAGAAAGCTATACACTGGTAAGCTTAAATTTCCGGAAGAAGGACTCGAAGCGCTCACATGGACGCCCAGTCACGTTAAACAAAGAAAATATAAAGGGTTGAATCTGAGCAGTCAGTTTAACTATACCTCTCTTCCCTTCATCGACCATAATGTAGTAAATGGGATGTTAAAGTCGTGTTATTACAAACCGAGTTATATTATTGAAAGAAACTTAAGCCGTTATGAAGGAGTGAATCTTGTACACGAGTCTTTTGTTTACCCCATCGATAACACCTATTTACATCGAGCGTTCGTCCCGTGGTCAGAAGGGAATAAACTCGTCAATAATCAAACAGTGAAAGACGTGGTTGGAAAATTTATGGCAAACTTACAGATTTTGCAAAGGTGAGTGTGTGACTCTGTCTCCGTCAAAATTTGAAAAGCGTAATTTTAATATTACACTTCTCAATGTCGGGTTTTGAAGAGTTCATCATGTTGAGATTAAGCTTGATAACATTTTAATGACGAAAAAAGAGACACGACGTGTAAGCTTAAGTGACGCTTTAGTTGGTTCATCGACCCACAGCTAAGCTAACTAGATTCTACAAAAGGAAGGCAATTTCATAGCGTTACAAGCTTGAGGCTCGAATATGTCTTAATTTTGTTTTGATTGGTTTTCTTAGCAAAAACGTGGCTTTCGACACCTTGTGTGATAAATAATTGAATAGTTGAACGCACTCAATTTAGTTGTAAGCTATTTTTTCGCAAATGTTTATTCATCAGTACAGATAATTGCAGGCTATCTCGGCGGGGGTATTTTGCAGAACGTCGAGCGCCGAACGCCAAAAGCTATGTAAAGTGTCAGTCACGTTTGCTTGCGGTTGACTTTTATTTGTTGGAAGGATCCAAATACGATGAACAAAAAAAGTGCTGTTCTTTCCAAAATATAAAAGCTAACCGCAAGCCAAAAAAAAAAAAAACTCTGCCAAGATATTTTTGCCACATAAATTGGTGAGGCTTGTGATATGCAAAGACCAATCTTGCGATATTTCAAGTTGCAGACATGATCAAATTGGAGGCAAATATTAACCCCCCCACACCCCCAAAAAATCCCTGGGGTAAAACTGGACCCCAAGAAAATCTTCTGCTGAAACAGATGTAATTTGTAATGTAAATATCACATGCAACTCCTTCATTAAATATTAAAACAACCGACGTAGAAAAAGAAATAACACGCAAACTACTGTAATAAACATGACAATAAAATGCATTGTTGGAAAAAAAAAACTACATTTTTTTACCTGACATTTCGTATGTTTTGACACACCTCCTTAGAAGTGACTGTTGAGAGTAGAAGCAACAACTAAATTTTATTTTAAGATAAGTAACATAAACATATTAGCTGCAAAAAACTTGATCTCTATTAGTTTGCATCTTTTAATATACAATTTTTTTCAGCTTTTGGCATTTTCATTGTTAATTAGTTACCTATCTTAAATTTAAATTTGAATTTAAATTTGAAGAACAATAATGGGGAATTATCTGCCATAACATCACTCTTAATGAGTTTGCCTTAACTATATTCAAATAGTGGACCATGGAAATTCTGTTCACTTGAAATACAGATCATTACTATCTCACTATCAAATTAGTTGTACTGTTTAAAGCTCTGTGCCAATTTCGACAGTTTCAGCATCTCTTGTAGAATAATTTTGGATACTAGTGATCTGTTAAAAGAACCTGACTATAAAGGATCCCCTAGGGGTTTGGGGGAACAATGGATCATGGGATATTTTTCTGGATTAATTTAACAGAAAAAAGGATGTCTGTACTATTGACAGGAACTTTGGCAAAAAAATTTACAGATCACAAAACCAATTTCAAATGTTAGGTGCTGAAATGGTTCTTATAAATACTGACCAAAATGTTTTCTTTGTAGGGGATACTACCTGCAAAATGTCCTTAATGTTGAGCAGAACCCAGATCTTAAGAATGGAAATCGTTTCCTTCTTGAACTTCAATTAGGTGTCCATGGATCAAATGAAAGCTTTCGTCTCTCAGAATATGTTTATGCTCCAAGTGGCAAGGATGAACTCTGTTTTCCAGAAGGAATGGTATGGCAGAGAAATGCAACCATTTACTTTATACTCCCTGTGAAAAACCAGGGCAAATGGGTGCATCACTTTGCATCTCAACTTGCAAACATGTCTCGTCAGACTGGCGACTTAGGATTCCATGTTATTATTGTGGATTTTGACAGTGATGACATTGACATTGATGAAGTTTTCAGTGTGTGGTCTCTTCAAGAGCGTTATACACTAATCAAGTTGAGTGGACTTTTTCATAAGACACTGGCGATTCAAAAGGCTGTCAAGGCTGTTCCACATGATGATGATATAGTATTTTTATTTGACCTTCATATTGATGTTCCTATAGGACTGTTGGATAGCGTAAGGAAGGTGAGATTCTAAGTTATGTAAAAATTGTAACTTTATTCAATTTTTAATGTGTACAAGATGTGTTTAACTTGTGAGTTAGAGTTCAGTGGATTCCCAATTTCTCAAACCCTTGATTTTTCTAACCACACAATATCTCATTTTAAAATTACACTTGTCTGACGTTTCAATCTTTCAAGCATCATTTTCTAGACAACAGTGAAAATATCGAGATGACACAAAGATTTAAATAAGTGAAAACATAATTTATATTTTTGTGCATGTTACTACGCAGCATGGATGGAGTTCAATGATGGTTTGCATTCTTTGATTATCAGCATTTCATAAATTAGCCACTTGAAATTGTTTTGGCACTTTTTATTACTGAAAAGTTTTGATTAAATTAACCAAACCCTGTTTCTCTCCCCTGAGTCAAACTCTGTAATTTTACCCTCAATTTTTCAAACTATGTGATAAAAAAAAAACTAGGATTCCACTGTATACATTTTGAAATGTTAAATTTCTCCCAATTTATTGTTACTTGATGTTTTGTTAAACATTAGTAACTAACTGTCTGCAATAATATTATGTGTGTCAATAAACTAGGTTCTTCATCTTGGTATAATTTGTTGATATATTAAGTGAACTGTGTTGTGTCTGTAGCACACCATTTTAGGCAAGATGGTATATGCACCAGCTGTTGGCCGTCTGGAATGTGGAGAGTTTCCAAGTGATCCCCGTGGTTTTTGGCAGGAGAATGGTTATGGGATTTTAAGTGTTTTCAAAGAGGACTGGGATAGATTTGGAGGTGGGTACCTGATTTTTAAAACTACAGTTGAACCGCTATAGTATTAAGTGGCTACCTATATAGCAGCCACCCCTTAACAAAACGGCCAGTTATCAACGTCCGAAATCATTGTCAGTAAATTACTGTAAATAAAATCCCTATTAACCAGCCACCTCTACTAAGCAGCCAGGGCCACCTTTTGGTCATCCCAATGATGGTTTTCCTATTGTCTTTACCCTTATTAAACAGCAACCCAAAATTTAATGCACCTATTTCACCTTTTTTGGAAAAAGTGATAACAGAAAAGAGTGCGAAATAGAAAGGGATGCCTGATAAGAACGTTCAAATACATGGTTATCATGATTGTCTTGATGTGATTCCATATCACTGAGCAGTTGACTTGATGGTAAAAAATATTCAAAGTACATGGTCCACCCCTGTTAAACAGCCAACCCCTATTATGATCATTTTGTGTGCTGATGACAGCATATCTTTATTTTAAGGTAGTCCTTTACATACATGTAAGCCTTATTGGCTTCCCTGGGCTTCCTTGCCTTATACATTGATATTTTGTAAGTGTATTTGTAAAAGACAAAAAAAATACAAACAAACAAACAAACAAAAGAATACAACTTCCCACTTTCCCCTTTCTCCAGCTTGTCTCATCTGATTCAATACCACCACATAATCCTATGTTACTACAATCAAGTTTAGAAAAGGGAGGCAGTATTTCTGCTGCTGGAGTTTGAAAGGGGCATCATCTCATATAAGAGGGTGTCGCATTGCATCCCTGCCTGGGGGCAGGGATGCAGGGAGAGGTGCTTACCAAGGAAAGTGCCAGTGAGACAAGTTTCCCTCTTGTTTACCCTTGTGTATGAAAGATAAGGTATTTCCATAGGACAAACTAATGCCTCTTTTTCATTTACTTCCTAGGGATGAATGTGAAAGACTTCACCACCAAATGGGGAGGTGAAGACTGGGACCTGATTGATCGGGTGTTTTCAGTACAGCTAGAAATTGAAAGACTGAAACAGCCTGGCTTGTTTCACTACTATCACTCTCATAAGGGAATGTGGCATTGAAATAAGATTCTAGAGATGCACTGGATGATTTCTTGTATTAGCTCAAGAGCTGGATAAGAGCATTTTGCTCTGTTTAGACTTGGGAGCTGCAAAAGCTGATCTCGGAGTGAGAAATATTCCCGGGGGGGGNAGGTACCAAGATCCTGTTTTGTGGGCTTGGCTTGAAATTTTTTCACCCCTTAGAGGTATCCATTCTAAAGCCACACACCAACTGACATTGACTTTTCTCGGCTCAATACCTTGAAAAGTGCTGCAAAAGCTCTTGCTGTGGACCTTTTCAGGTGGAACACCCTCAGAGGTACAAAATGCACTTTTTTAACTCCTAAATGGTACGAGTACCCCAGTCCTTTTTTATATGGGAGTTCCCCCCAGAGGGGGGGGGATTTCCGCTATACTCAAGAAACCCAGGGATGAAGAACGCGAGCTCAAGGAGATTGGGAAATGTCTACCAGCAAACTGTTTGCGTGACCCGACTCAATGTTTGGGGCTAATCTGCCATACACCTGCCTGTTCAACTGATTTTTCCCAAGTCACAGACATGAGATTCCTATCCCAGGAGTGGTAGGATTTTTCAAGATCAAAGACTGAGGATGGTCACGTTGCCAGGATGTGTTTGGCAAACATATAAACGTAGTGGCCTCACTTTTGTCTTGAAAATCGGAGAGTTGGGGAAACTGTGTCGTCATTTACAAGTACGTTTCTTTTGTCTATCATTTTCATGACCTTTTAACAAGTAACAGTTAAGTCTATAACAGCTCAAATATTTCAACTGGGCATGAGATTTTTTTTCGCAGACATGAGATGGAAGTTTTCGACCCTCGGGCGTGAAACTCGTGCCTAACAAATGAGAACTGGAAGGTATAGCAAGTGAAACAG